ATAATATCGGTAGGTATCTTAGAAGGAAGTTGGAATGGATGATTGATGTCTACCATATTCTCCACAAGCAGAAATGTTAAGAGTTTAGGCTCTGTAGTCGGTCTGGATTTGCTTTTTCCTAGCTTTCTGACTTTGAGTAAATTAACATCCCCTTGTTTCCTGTCTCATATAACAAGTATCTACCCCATAGGGTTATTTGAAGATTTAGTGAAGAGTGTGGTAAGATAAGCATTGATTCTTTTTTTTTTTTAAATATGAAATTTATTGTCAAATTGGTTTCCATACAACACCCAGTGCTCATCCCAACAGGTGCCCTCCTCAATGCTTATCACCCACTTTCCCCTCCGTCCCACCCCCCATCAACCCTCAGTTTATTCTAGTTTTTAAGAGTCTTTTATGGTTTGGCTCCCTCCCTCTCTAACTTTTATTTTTTTCCCTTCCCCTCCCCCATGGTCTTCTGTTAAGTTTCTCAGGATCCACATAAGAGTGAAAACATATTGTATCTTTCTCTGTATAGCTTATTTCACTTAGCATAACATTCTCCAGTTCCATCCACGTTGCTACAAAAGGCCATATTTCAGATAAGCATTGATTCTTACTTAGACATTGGGTTGTCTTCGACGAGATTTGCTGGTGAGCAATCTGGGCCTGGAGTTTTCTTTGGTAGGACTTTTATTTATGCATCGCATTTTAAAAAAATAGTTTAGGACCGTTCAGACTTTTTACTTCTTGTGTCAGTTTTAGTAGTCGTAGTCTTCTAGGACTTTGTCTATTCATCTAAATTTTTAGTTGTTTTTTTTAATGCCTGCTGCATCTGTAGTGATCGCCCTATGTCACATTGATATTTATATTTTCTCTCTTTTTTCTTATTAGTGTCATCAAGGATTTGTCAGTTTTATTAATTTCTTCAAAGAACTGGCTTTTGGTGTTTTAATCTTTCTATCTATATTTTTGTCTTCTACTTTATTAATTTTGACTAGGGAACTTAACTTGCTTCTTTTTGTAATTTTTGCAGTGGATATTTAGCTTACTGATTTTTAGCTTTTCCACAAATTTTCCTCTTAGCGTGAATTTATCCGCATTTCATGTGGTTTGAAATGTATTATTATTCTGTTCAAAATACTTTCAAATTTCCATTGAGTTTTCTTTTTCTTTTTTTTTTTTTTTTGGTTCATAAGATATTTAGAAACCAGTTTTTCAATTTTATTTAGAAAGCAATTTATATTGCTTTCTTTCCAAATATATTTGATGTTTTAGGTATCTTTTTAGTTATTTTTCACTTGTTTATGACTATTAGGATGTTTTATATCTTTTTTTAATGTTTATTTTTTGAGGGAGAGAGAGACAGTGTGTGCATGAGCAGGGGGAGGGACAGAGAGAGGAAGACACAGAATCTGAAGCAGGCTCCGGGCTTGGAGCTGTCAGCACAGAGCCCAATGAGGGGCTTGAGGCCACCAACTGTGAGATCCTGATTTGAGCTGAAGTCGGACACTCAACCGACTAAGCCTCCCAGGCACCCCTGGATGTTTTATATCTTTAAAAAAGCTTTCTATTATGGGAAATTTCAAACATATACAAAACTGGAGATAACAGGATAATCCTCACTCAGATATCCATAAACTTCAACAATTTTTGAAAAGTTTATTTATTTATTTTGAGAGAGAGAGAGAGAAACAGAGCACATGAACAGGGGAGGGGCAGAGAGAAAGAGAATCCTAAGCAAGCTCTGCACTGTCAGCACAGAACCCCATGTGGGGCTCAATCTCACAAACTGAAATCATGACCTGAACCAAAATCAAGAGTCCGACGCTCAACTGTCTGAGCTACCCAGGTGCCCCAACTTCAACAATTTTTAACTCCTGACCAACCGTATTTTATATCTCTTTTCTTTATACCCCAACCTCAGATTATTTCAAAATGAATCTTGGGGTACCTGGGTGGCTCAGTTGATTGAGTGCCCGACTTTGGCTCAGGTCATGATCTCACTGTTTGTGGGTTCAAGCCCTGTGTCGTGGGTTCAAGCCCTGTGTCCGGCTCTGTGCTGACAACTCACAGATCCTGGAGCCTGTTTGGATTCTGTGTCTCCCTCTCTCTGTCCCTGCCCCACTCGCACTCTGTCTCTCTCTCTCTCAAAAATAAATGTCAAAAAACTTTTAAAAAAAATTTCTGAAATGAATCTCAGATATATCATTTTTTTCTATAGATATTTCAGTATGTACCCATACAAGATGACGTTAAAAAAATAGCTAAAACATGGGGCGCCTAGGTGGCTTAGTTGGTTAGGCATCCGACTTCTGTTTAGGTCATGATCTCATGATTCGTGAGTTCGAGCCCCTCCTCGGGCGCTGTACTGACAGCTTGGAGCCTGGAGCCTGCTTTGGATTCTGTGTCTCCTTCTTGCTCTGTCCCTCCCCTGCTTTGGATTCTGTGTCTCCCTCTGCCCCTCTCCTGGTAGCGCTCTGTCTCTCTCTCTCTCAAAATAAACATTAAGAAAAATTTTTTAAAATAACTAAAATACCATACCACACCTAGAATAATTTCTTGATGTCATGAAATAAATAGCTGGTCAGTTTCCAGACTTTCCCCATTGTCTCTAGATTTTGTTTGCAATTTGATTATTTTGAAGCATGATTCAAATAAGATCTAAACTTTTTTATTATTTGATAAGTTTTATAAGTCTTTTTTTCTTATAAAATTTTTATTTAAAAAATTTTTTAAATTTTTGTTTTTTAATGTTTATTTATTTTTGAGAGAGAGAGAGAGAGAGCGATTGAGCATGAGTGGGGAAGGGGCAGAGGGAGCCAGAGACACAGAATCTCAAGCAGGCTCCGGGCTCTGAGTTGTCAGCACAAGCCTGATGCAGGGCCTGAACTCACGAGCTGTGAGATCATGACCTGAGCCGAAGTCAGGTGCTTAGCGGATGGAGCCACCCAGGTGCCCCATAAAATTTTTATTTAAGTAATCTCTACACCTAGCGTCAGGCTTGAACTCATGACCCGGCGATGAAGAGTTGCACGTTCTTCTGACTGAGCCAGCTGGGTGCTCCATTTTATAAGTATTTTTTTTTTTTTTTCAACGTTTATTTATTTTTGGGACAGAGAGAGACAGCATGAACGGGGGAGGGGCAGAGAGAGAGGGAGACACAGAATCGGAAACAGGCTCCAGGCTCTGAGCTGTCAGCCCAGAGCCTGACGCGGGGCTCGAACTCCCGGACCGCGAGATCGTGACCTGGCTGAAGTCGGACGCTTAACCGACTGCGCCACCCAGGCGCCCCAAGTATTTTTAATCTAAATGTTTCTTCTGCAGGTATGTCTTTCAACTCTTGCCATTTATTTATTGAAGAAACTGAGTTTCTTGTCTCTTAGGAGTTCTCCATAATTTGAACTTTGCTCATTGTACTTGATGATGATGTTTAATGTGTTCCTGTATTCCTAGTTCCTGTAAGTTCCTATTTCGTAGGTATAGAGACTTGATCGGATTCAGATTTAACGGTTTTTGTTTGGTTTGGTTGGTCAAATGATGGTAGAGTGTGCTTTCATCAGTAATCATAGTCGTGTCTGGTTATTTTTCTTCTTGATGATGATTTTCTAGGTTCATAAATTCATGGAGAGGTTGAAAAATGGTGATATTCTAATTGCATCATTCCTTCTTCATTTATTCCCTGGAATACTGCTATAAGGAGAAATTTCCCCTTCTACTTGGATATTCTCAGTTACAGTTCATATAGGAAAGACAGACAGATACTTGATTTTTTCTCTTTGTTTACTAGTTTTCAAAATAAGTTCATTCTCTAGCATCCTTTAGTGATCATTTTTTTTTAAGAAAATACCCCAATGAGCTCGTATGTTTTGATTCTATTACATTTATTACCTTTGTTAATGCTCATACTGTTCCATCTTTGGCCACTGGACCCTATTCAAATAGGCTCTGGAGCCTTTTTGATATAACCCTTAATTTTTTATGGCTTTCTTTTTTTCTTATATGCAGGATATTTCAGGTTCATTTGTACAATTCGTGCCGTTTCTCCAAGGGACCTTACTTTGTTTTAGTAGAAAATGATATTTAGAGACAGCAATGTGGGCATTAAATGTGCTCATTGCTTCTAGTTTGGTCACTGTTTCTAGAACTTTTTTGTTTTTAATTAATTTGAGAACGAGAAAGAGAGTACGCATGCAGGAGAGGGGCAAAGAGGGAGAGAGAATCCCAAGCAGGCTCCATGCGGTCAGCACAGAGCCTAACATGGGGCTCGAACATATGGACCATGAAATCATGATCTGAGCTGAGATCAAGAGTCAGATGCTTAACCAACTGAGCCACCCAGGAGCCCCTGTTTTAGAACTTTTAAGAGGTCTGATGTAAGAAACATATACATTTAAAAAAATGTTTTAATAAATACATCATTTGTTTCTATTATATTTTATTCAGATTCAGAGCTATAGGGTTTTTGCTTAACATCATTAGGCTTACAGCTATATTTGGTTCTCCCATAGTTAAAAACCCACATTTCAACGTCCCCAACAAAATTACTCATTTGATTTATCTTAAAACAGACACACACACACACACACACACACACACACACACACACACACGAGACAGGCTTGGAATAACATACCTGCCTCTGCCTAGGTAGCTTTGAAAATCAACTTTTACCCCCTAACTCTACAGGCTGCAAAAGGTGCTGCTTATCTTCTTAACTCTTTCTTTTGGAATTGGAGCTGTGTCCTCCCCCAAGGAAAGTGATTGCAAAGCCAGGCTCACCTCTCTAGATTTATTTCCTTTCTGAGTTGAGACTGGTAAATCTTCACTATCTTCTTTGTTCTCTGATACCATCAAATAATGTTTTAAGATATTTTGCCATCTTCTCTAGTCGTCTCCAGTAAGAGTTTGGTTTCCATTATCTAATCTGCCATTATTGGAAATGAAACTCCCCTTCCCACTTAAACTTTGAACACGTGTGTTTATATAATATGAGCACAATATTTGGTTTTATTTCAAAGGTTCTGAAGCAAAAACACCTGGATGACTGTCTGCGACACGTATCTGTGAGAAGATTCGAATCATTTAATCTGTTTTCAGTAACAGAAGCCCAAAACAGGACAACCGAAGAGGACGTTGGTGCATGGATCCAATATACAAGTGTCTTCTATCCTGAGTACAGCATTTCTTTAAGGTGAACATCATTCTGGTTAAGATATTTTTAAAAGTATTTTTCTCTTGTAGAAGAAAAGCAGTCTAATAAGAATCTCATTATGCATTCTGTTGAGTTTGCAGGTAATCTTGATCAGAACTTCGGTTTTGCAGCATTGTATTAGGAAATCCTGCTGCTTTAACTGGGTTTTGTTGTATCCTCAGAACTGAGGGAAAAAAAGTCTCAGGAATGTAGTGGCATTTGAGGATAAAGTGGCTTGCAAATCACAAGGTTCATTTAACCATTCTCTCATAGCATTTGATTATGACAAAGCCAAGTTCTTTTTGAGGCTGAAAGTGGAAACAGAATTTTCTAAACTACTCTTCAAGGAGTAGTTATCTGAAAAATCAAGCTTTGGTATTTTTCCCATTCATATTTTGTCGCTTTCAGAATGGAATCTTAAGAATAGGAGGAGAAAATCCAGCTGAAAACATGGAGACTGTGAGAAGCACACAGACTGTTCTGGCTTTAAAAATCGTTTTAAAAGAGACAGAAGAGTTGCACACTGAAGTAACAAGATACCATTTTTACCGAATTAATTTTCTCTCACAGTTACAGTCTAGCGTGTTGCAATATTACTGTAGGTGTTTGATTTTATAAAATCTGCCTTTTTTGACAAGATTTCACATCTTGAAAGGGAGGGAGGAGCACATTTACAGTAACTGTAAGAAGAGCAAAAAACATTTTAAGTGGAATGTGACTGAATAAGGTTTAGGTGAGGCGAGGAATAATTTTCAGAAAAAAAGTTTTCACAAAGGGTGTCTATTTATAGTATATGTTTCTCGAACCATTTTAGTTTAAAATATCTAAGCTTTAAAAGACATCATAATAGCTGAAAATTTGGGATCTGGATAAAAATTGACGAGGGTGGGCAGGGAAGAACCATTAGGATCTGGTTTCACAATACTGCTTTGTTGAAAACTCCAAAAAGAAGATAAAAACCTAGGGATTTCTGAGCTTGCCTGGATATTCATTATGAGATTCTAATTAGAATACCTGAACTGCCTCGTGTTCAGATGGAGATAATTAGTTTAGTTCCTGTTCCGGAAGGGAAGGAAACTGCATGGAATGTTTCCCGTGTGCCAGGTGCCAAGCTAGGTGCTTTGTTGTATTCTGATTCTTGTAATCCTTCCGGTAACTCTGCAAAGTAGGAATGAAGATGATTACACAATTGGAAGATAGCATCTGTAAGGAAATTAAAGAGAAGGAAGAACAGTGATCCCATAGGGGTCTTCAGGTATAAAGTTCTAAAACTTAACTTCTCCATCTGCTGGTAGACCAGACGCAGTAAGTGTAGTATGTACCATGAACGATTTCCTGACATCTTCCAAGTCCTGGTAAGGGTTAGCTAGAGAGAATGGGAAATCTTCCGGTTCGTGTGAGTTTTCAAAATAGGGCATGGTTCTCCACCTGCTGGAGATGACCCTGGTGTGGCAGGAACCCAGGCTCCAATGTAAACTGAGACTCCTTTCCGGTGGCATGGTTCCTTGTGATATATCCGTTTTTAAAATAAATAAAATAAATAAAATAAATAAATAAATGCAAGTCTGTCTATATAAATACGACATTGAATCCTAATTTATGGAGAGAAGACAGGTGACCAAGCTAGAACATTGGCTGCGATGGCTACCAAGATTTTTTCCTCTTTTTTTCACACTAGTTCTTTTCTCTCCACATTAGTAATACAAAGGTAACAATCGCGTGCACATATTCTAGAGCTGAACACAATCTTAGAATAATTTTTAAAAGATCACAACCACATTAATGATGGCTGACTGCTGAGTGACTACTATGTCACAAGCACTGTCGTGAGTGGTTTACATGTATTAGCTTATTTAATCCACGCGACACCTTTTGAGGTAAGTACTGTTATTATCCTCATTTTACAGATGAGGAAAGTGAAACCCAGAGAGGTTAAATGACTTGATTGAGGTCACACTACCAGTGATCGCGCCTGTATTCAAACCCCAGTGGTCTGGTTCCACAGCCTGTACTTTTAAAAACTTTTATTTCGAAGTAATTACAGACATTCAGGAAGTTGCAAAAATAGTACAAGGAGTTCACATACCCTTCATCTAGCTATCTCCATTGGTAACATTTTATGTAATGACAGCTACAGTCTGCACTTTTAACTTCTGCACATGCTGCCTCTCGTGAGGCAATCATGTATCCACTTATTCATTTTACAGATGAAGGGATTGAGGCCCAGATAAACTAATTTCCTCGTTGCTTATTCTGAGCGTTCTATTTCTTACTCTATAATTCTGTTACCATATAGAAAATCGCTGAAATTACTGCAGTTGCTTAGGGAGGGGAGGATTTCTGCCAAGAATAGTTTATTCCATTCCATTGTCCACTTTGTTCATGTTGATTTCTCTTACCACTTCTTGTTTTCTGTTAGTTGCCCAACATGGATGGATCCCCGTTTTTGTTCCTTTAACATCTTGTATCCGCTGTTTTCTCAACCTGCTTCCGTTACATTTCTTTAGCTACCTTTATTGTCTTCAGTATTGTTTGAATTGTGAGCATTCTAGAGTTTAAAAAAAAATTACTTGCAGTAGCTAAAAGCAGTGGTTTAGAAGGTAGTTTTGGAATGACGTACCATTACTTTCACGTACATTTTTTAAAGTTTGTTAAATCAACACAATGGAATGATTTACAAGAAGTGATGAATTATTTTATCTTATTTTTTTAATGTTTTTGTAAAATTTATTTTTGAAGGAGAGACAGAACATGAGCGGGGGAAGAGCAGAAACAGGGGGAGACACAGAATTCCAAACAGGCTTCAGGCTCTGAGCTGTCAGCACAGAGCCCGATGCGGGGCTTGAACTCACATGTTTCCCTCCTTTTAAATAATAATCTGCCCCAGTGACTTGTTCCTTAGTCTACTTACTCCATAGGCCATTCATGGGAGAAACTCAAAAATCATCAATTATAGGTTAGCTTAAAGTGCTTGATGAAAAAATGGGTTGGCTTTTAGAAGAGACTGACTATGGGGGTGCCTGGGTGGCTCAGTCGGTTGAGCGTCCGACTTCAGCTCAGGTCACGATCTCGTGGTCCGTGAGTTCGAGCCCCGTGTCCGGCTCTAGGCTGATGGCTCAGAGCCTGGAGCCTGCTTCCGATTCTGTGTCTCCCTCTCTCTCTGCCCCTCCCCTGTTCATGTTCTGTCTCAAAAATAAATAAACGTAAAAAAAAAAAATTAAAAAAAAAAAAAGAGAGACTGACTATGGGTAATTTCCCCCCCAGCTTTATTGAGAGATAATTGATATATAACAGTATGTAAATTTAAGGTGTACAATGTGTCGATTTGATACACTTATATATTGTCAAATGATGATCACCATAGCATTAGCTAATACCACTGTCATGTCACATAGCTACTATTTCTTTTTTGTGATGAGAACATTTACAATGGCTATTGGTGTTAAGGGTTTGGGAAAGAAGTTAAAGCTTTGGAGTTTAGGAGAAAGATAGAGTGAACTTTTTATACCTTGATATGTTGGAAAAAAAATGTCATTTTTCAGTAACATTAATTGCTAGTGTAATGCTAAGATTGAAGTTTTGGGGTCCCTTCCTTATAAGTATTTTTATCTAACCACATTGTCCAGGCAGGACCTAGGTAAACTGTTGAAAGATTAGGGTTAGACAAGATGTTATACAGTTGACACATTAATAAAGTAGATGACTCTGTTAAGAAAAAGCTGTCCATGAAGTTGGGACAAGTGATAGGGAACTTGAAATAATCGAACTGAATCTTTACCGCATTATGTTCATGAGCGTTTTCCTATAGTTAGCACTAATTCTTACGCTGTTGAAAACAGTGATTGCTGACATTATTCTTTCATGAGATGCCTTCTTTTAGGATGTCTAGACTTCATAGATAAGCGATTTTCATTTTTGGAAGTTATTTAGAGGGATAGAGTTAGTTTTACACTTTCCCTACTTCTTACCCCATTTTATTTTATTTTTAAAATGTTTATTTTTGAGGGGGTGGGAAAGGGCAGAGAGAGACACACACAGAGTCCGAAGCAGGCTCCAGGCTCTGAGCTGTCAGCACAGAGCCAACGTGGGGCTCAAACCACAAACCGCGAGATCATGACCTGAGCTGAAGTCAGACACTTAACCGACTAAGCCATCCAAGCACTTCCTACCCCATTTAAAAATGTCATAGGCCACACTCTGTTTTTTTTGGCTTCCATAGGTAACATTTTTAAGACTAGACAAGTTCTGCTTCAGTGATAATTTTGCCAAATCACACTTTTTGTTTTGAATAATGCTTTTTAATTTTTAAACATGAATTTCACTTCAATTATCCCAGTTTCTGTTTTTTTCAGAAATATTTAACATTTTTCAAAATATATATTTAATTTCAAATATATATCCATCCTGAATTGAGAAGCTTTTAGGGATTTATCCTCAGGAAAATGAGAAATGGGCTCAGTGATGTTTCTGCAAGGGTGCTCATTGTAACAATATGCATAACAGCATAACACTGGGCACAGACTAAACATACAACAAATAAAGTGTTGTTGCGGTAAATTACGGTGCCAACAATCATTCACTGAACAGCTTGGGAGCCATTAAATTCATGTTGCAAGAGAATACTTAATGATGTAGGAAACTGTTTTATAATATCTTAAAACACAAATTTCAAAACAGGAGAAATATGCTCTTAGTCATTTAATGAAAGTATGAGCATGGAATAAAATTCTATAGCAAAATATGAATAGTGGTTGTCTCTGCATGATAGGATTATGAGCATTGTTTTTCTTGAAGGAACCGTAGATTGCTTTTATATTTAAGAAAAACTTTTTTAAGTTCTGTGCCATGTTGCTGATCACTTTTAGAGCCTCATCTTGCATTTTAGGTATTAAATACTTTGACCTTTTTCTTTCTTTTTCTTACATGTATACTGTAGTTTTCCATGTTAGGGCGTATAACCTCATCTCTACCTAGAATCACGTATACAGAGAAGGTACAGAATCACTGTGTTATTGGTAACACTTTGGTAGCTTTGTCTTCTTAGATTATGATACTTCTGAGCCCAATGCTTATTTGGCCGTGATGATTGCACATAACTTCTTCCAATCTCAGTCACTCTGTCCAAGAACTGGGTCTGTATGACAGAAATAAGAAGTTCTGCAAAGGCTAATACAGTTTACGTGTATTTTCTTACTAAATGTATTAGTTTGCTAGGGCTCCCAAAAACAGTGCCACAGACTGGATGGCTTATACAACAAATTTGTTTTTTACAGTTTTAGGTCTAGAAGTCTGAGAGAAAGGTGTTGCAGGTTTGGTTTCCTCTGAGGCCCCTCTCCTTGACTTGCAAGTAGCTGCCCTCTTGCTGCCTCTTCACATGGTTGCTCCTCTGTGCGCATGCTCTGTTTTCCCAGTCTCCTTTCCTCGTAAGGACAGCAGTCATATTGGATGAAGGCCTACCCTAATGACCCCATTTTGACTTAATCACCTATTTAAATAAGGCCGTTTCTCCAAATACGCTTTTATGCTGAGGTACCAGGGTTTAGGGCTTCAACATGTGAAATTTGGAGACACAGTTCAGTTGGTAACAATATATGTCAGATATGATAAGTTTAATGACAAAGTGGTGTTGATGAAGTAAATTGTAATTAACTGCTTATGAACTGTTACAACATCCTAGAGAACTACAGCTGTAAATGAACTCCGCTTATATAGGGGAGAATATGGAAGATTGTGGACGCATTAGCAACAATTTTTTGTGTTTAATCACCCCTGGAAAAGTGTCTGAAACTCTGTGACCTGTTGACAATAAGGCCCGTTTGTATATGAAGAATAGTATCTTTTGTAAGTATTAATGAAATATTAGCAATCAAATTAGATATTTCAGGGGCTGCCAAGTGAAGAGAGATTAGAATTAAAAGGGATGGAATTAAGGTTAGTGGGCAAAAGATATGAAACTATTGGCCCCCTGACATTTAGAACTTTCTGTAGGTAGATCGTGCAGATCTGAAGGTGGGTTAGTTCTTTGTGGCTGAAGTTTTGAGTTTGTTGGGCCGGTATGGAGAAAATCTGTATATTGTTGAGTGTGGTTGTGGAGTTGACAGTTTATTTCTCTTTTGAGATTCTTAAAGGTATGGTTTTGTTTTGTTGTCTTTAATAATCTACCTTATCTTTATATAACTAAAACAAATATGATAAAAAATATTTATTAATACTTTAAAATGTAGATTACTCAGCAAGAATATCATCACATTAAATATCCTGAGGAATGTATTCTGTTACTTCTTTTCCTTCTCCCTCTAGTGGGCAGAAAATATTTTGAAAATATAGCAGGGAAGGGTTTATTAGTGTTGAGTGGGTGCATCACAATACAGTGTCTCAGCTTTTAAAAACATTAATGTTAATATTTCAGAATCATTGACTAAAATGTTTTATTCCTTCCTAGGCATAATAATGGATCTTTGAATGTTGAAGATGTTCTTACCAGCTTTGACAATACAGGAAATGTTTGTAAGTTGCATGTTCCCTTTGTGGAAATATATTTTTAGTGTTTTAAAATGAATTTATAATTAGTGTTTTTCTCACTAAGGTTTATTGTAATGATGTGTGTGCATATGTGTGTGTGTGTAATACAAACTTTTATTGTTTCCTGCTGCAGAATCAGCATCATGTAAGATGCACCTACTCAGTAGGATGAGGGTGTCTTTACACTTTGCAGTTGTGTGAGTGTGTGTGCGTGTGTGCGTACATGCATATGTGTGTGTATAACAGAATGTAGGTCGAAAGGAACACTGGACTGTCTCTTTTTCTTGTTTCCATTTTGACCTTCTCAGTTAATCCAACAGATGGGCTGTCTCTTTCTTCTTTGCTATATCTTGGGTACTTTCGTTTCCACTTCCTGCTTTCCTTTTTCATTACAGAATAAAACCATTTATTTCCCTTGCTGTGAATATAATGCCAGAAGGTTTTTGTTTTATGCAGTATTATAATATAGAACACGTTGCCTTTTCATCTAAGCTGATTGTCAGGATAAATTTCTTCACTGAGAGAATTATCTAAATAATTATCATGTTGGACTGCCTGGGTAGCTCAGTCAGTTAAGCGTCCGACTTTGGCTCAGGTCACGATCTCAGGGTTCATGAGTTCAAGCCCCGCGTCGGGCTCTGTGCTGACAGCGCAGAGCCTGGAGCCTGCTTCAGATTCTGCATCTTGCTCTCTCTCTGCTCCTCCCCTGCACTCTGTCTCTCTCTGTTTCTCAAAAATAAGTAAACGTTAAAAAAAATTAAAAAAAATAATTATCATGTCATATGATGAAAGAAATCAGCCAATAATATATTTTTATCACCATGTTAAACAACATATGATGAAGAGCTGCGTACCCCTCCTTCATGTGTGTTGCCTAGGATATTTCTCTTCAGATAGTGAATGATTTGTGTAATATGACCTTTTCAAATGTAAAAATTGTACTCAGATACTTTTTTCTCAAAGGAAATTTTGTTGCTGTAACTTTTCTCTGAACTAAACTAATGTACTTTGCTAACAGCATTACTTTATCAGATGCACTCTAATTTTACATCTGCATAGAATCATGCCTGAGCAATACTCAGGCAATAATTTTGTTTTTATGCTCACCTATGGCAAGCTTTTCATAATATAGACAAATATTTATGTATTTTGTCACTAAGGAATCTGAAAGTATCCTAAAATTATCCAAAAATATTTAAATAATATGGGATCCTTTTTCATAGATAGTGACAGGTTTGCCTTTTTAGTTTCTACATGTTGGCACTTGCTGAATTCTTTCCCACTTAGGCATATCTCCATTTTATCGGGGGTTAGGACAAGGGATGCTAGTGGTGTTTGAGGAGACATTCTCCTTTTAATGTAAAATATCACTAAGTCAGGTTTATGCGTATATAATTTAGGAACATGGTCCTAGAATGTTAAATGTGGAATTTTTTGATTCAGTAATGTAAAAATGACGTATTGTTTCTAGTATGAAATAGGGCCACTAGCTGGCAGCATCATGTAAAATAAAAATATTTTCATAAAGGTCTACGTTATTATTTTATGCACGAATGCCTGTCTTGTCCTCCTCTGACATTTTTTTCTCATCAACTTACTCCATACCGCCTTCATCCACCCCAAGTTGTTGCATTGACAAATGGAGAAATTGCATGCAAAAGGTACTTTTTTACTGATGTTGTATTGTTTGGTGGAAAGGTTTGAGTCTTTGAATGAGACCCACCTACGTTTGAGTCTTGGCTCTGAAATTCATCTTGAGCAATTTACATTATGTCAATTTGTATGAGTTTATATTATCTCTTAGAACCGGATATAATACATAGAAAGTGTATAACACATATTCCTCATAGTTGACGTTCAGGAAATGGAAGCTATTTATTAATTATTACTTGTGATGAGTACCTCTAGAACATCTTTCCATCTTTTTCTAATAATGAAGAGAATATTAAGGGTTGTTCTCATGTTTTAAAGTAAACTGTTTTGATTGAACTAACAAGGTAGGAAAAAAATACATCAAATTACCAAAATAGCAATTTATTAAAAAGTCTTGTCACAAATGTTGTGTTAAAAATGTGAATATATTGCCAAGGGATGGAAGTGGTGACAAAAATAAGACCTATTAAAACATGTTTAGTGTAATTTTTATATTATCTTCCTATTTTAAAAGAAAAAATCTGTACTGAGATTTTACTTAATGATAAATTGGTAAAATCCTGTTATGGTAAAATGGATTTTGATTATATAATCTTTTATACAATCTTTGCCAAGGCTTAAAATGGTCAGTGACTGAAAAAGTGGTTTATCACTTCATGCCTCAAATGTTTGATTTTAACCTGATAGGGATATTAGGTTGAGTCTGTGACTAGAAAACCCAGCAGAGGGCGCCACAATCATAATTCTGTCTCAAAGCAGACTATAATTTGAATAAGTAACTTGAATAATAACCCTAAGTTTTCATCATGTAAACATATGAAGATGTAAGCTGAAGCATTTCCATTTGATTTATTTTTCATGTATTTAATATATTCAGCAATCCATCAATACAAAAAAAAAAAGATTTTCCTGAGTTATTTTTGAGTTTATTTTTTTGTCTTTTGTTTTCAATATCAGTTTAATTTTTGTACTTCTAGCTTTAAAAACAGGAATATTTTTGGTCTTGTTAATCTTAATAGAGATCAGAAGTTCTATATAAGAATATCTATTCCTAAATGACCGCCATGGTAGTAAATACATTGATGGTACACTGAAAGGTATTTAAAATAAGGAAAAAAGTTTCTAATACTGTGAGAGAACCAATAGATGGAATTATTCATTTGTGTCAGGAATAGTCCAGGTTAACAGAACTGCCAAATAATAGAAAAAATGACTAACATATTTTAAAGGTATAAAAACCTGATATGTGTATATGTATAAAATGTGTGTGTGTGTGTGTGTGTGTGTGTGTGTGTGTGTGTTTGTGTATACAAAATATATTCATGGCTTAATGGAACCATTAATCTCCATTTTAAGTTAATTTTTAAAACCAAGTAATGATTTTATTGTAAATTTTCAAAGATGAGAGGATCAGTCTTCGTTCCTGAATTTGTTCTCTAATAAAAAAGATATGGAAATGTCTTTAATTTTGGAAAACAAATGAAATTTCTGGGTAGTTCCTTATTTCCTGAAAGATTAGAAAAAAAATTCTATTTACCTTTATTAGTTTCAAGTGTTTTGTGTTTCTAAATGTGTGACCTGTGAAGTGTTTTATATTTTTGTGATATCCTCTGAGAGTTTGAATTCCTTTGAATGCTGTAGGAAAAAATTAAAAATGAATCTCACACAGTCATCTTGGCATAATGATTCACTGCCCCAAAGAATATATTTGCTATTGTGGAGAATACATTATTTTGAAAGTCAAGCTCCCTTTCTGTTTTCCTCTATTTTGGGATAGGTATGTGTATTTCATTCTTTGGGTCTACTACTTGAGAACCTATTTCCTTTGCAAGTATCAAAGCTGCTGTGGAGGGGTTATGTCTGCTATCGATTCCTCATGCCTGGAAAGAGATGCCATCATGCTACCTAGGGAAAAGTATAGGTTGGCATCCTTTACCTCAGGTGGGGTACTGGCTGCTTCTGTGTTTCATGTAACATGTCGCTTGAATACGTTGGGTAACAAGAGTACCCTGCCAAGCACTGGAGCAGATCACTTGCTTCTGTTTTCCCTGTGGGCAGAGTCTCCTTTCTAGCAAGTCCCTGACCTCTAATCAAAGAAGTCCCATTATGCCGTCTCTTCCAAACCCACTTCTCTTTCTCCAAAGTCATCTCTTTCCTCTACTAAAACTAATTTTTTAAAAATGTGATCCTCTCCAAGGCTTAATTGATTCAAATTTGGTTGTCATATTACATAATATAAACTATTTGGTATTTGTAAAGTCTCATCAGTGCTTGGGGATATAATAGCTTCATTTTTTACTTTTTTAGCACATCATCCTTCATTTGACAGCTTGAATAGATGAGGTAATAATACTTTTCATACAATTTATTGTGCACGATATATGCAATATAATATGTATAAGCTTTTAAAGGATAGGAAATCAATAATAATATATCCCTACAGTAACCTTGTGTGGCTCAGGATCTTTGGCTAACACTGCAGCTTAAATTGGGAGAATGTATTGGTAAGACCCCTTCTACCATTCTTTGAAAAAAAATTTTTTTTCTCCTGGCTGGGCTACATGACATGGTGGTTGGTATACCATAGTCTCCTGGGGAAATTTGTAGACCCTCTGCCTTATATACTCTCACATTTGATGATAGTAATTTTTTCCCCCAGTGAATCTCAGGGCTGATCTGGATTTTTAATATACACAGCTATAGTCTCCTGCTTTTAGATCCTTCCTGGTAGTCTGATAGTGGGACCTGTTTTATTAGGTATCCAAAACGGATCTCTTTCAGTTTAGTAATAATTACTACCTGAGGAAATATTCTTACTAGAAAATGAAAATATTTGGGGTGCCTGGGTGGCTCAGTCAGTTAAGCGTTCAACTTTGGCTCAGGTCATGGTCTCACAGCTGATTATGAGCCCCGCATTGGGCCCTGTGCTGACAGCTCAGAGCCTGGAGCCTGTTTTGGATTCTGCGTCTCCCTCTCTGCCTCTCCTCCACTCATGCTCTTTCTCTTTCTTTGACCCTCCCCTGCTTGTGCTGTGTGTCTCTCTCTCTCAAAAATAAATCAACATTAAAAAAAAAAAGAAAATATTTTGTATTTTAACTGCATTTGGGAAACCAAGAGAAGGTAACCATCTCTAAGGAAATATAGTCCCAATTTTTAGTTCTTGTTTCATTGTTTTGTGTTACATAGTTAGGGTCTGTAATATTGGTGGAATTATCAAAGCTTCAGGAATATCAGCTTGGATTTAAAAATTTTTTCTTCATTCAAATAAAGGTATGTGTGTGCATTCACATGCATGTGTGTGTATGTATGTGTATAGGTGTATAATACCTATG